TAGTATTTGTAAGTATCTTTTAGAAAGAAAAACCCAAAAAATCCTTACAAATGCCAGTACCTTTATTTTGGTGATGCGGCGCCTTGAAGTCCACCAATTTCTCTATATTGTTGAAATACAGCTTAAGATAACAAATTAGTATGGCAACTGCTCCAGCACTCCTTACTTTCTTCCCATTAACAGGGTCCAGACAAATGGAAAAGGAAAATAATAGTTTCGAAGCCTCACGCTTCACTCTGAGTCTTTCACGGAGACAAGTTTAAACTGCAATGCACAGTGTACAAAGTGTACGGCACCAACTAGATCCTGGGTTCACCCAAACCTCACAATAATTACTGTATAATAATAAATTAAACAATTCAGCACCTGACTGACCAACGGCTTGTTCGTTTGGGCTGGTTTGGCTTATAAGTCATGGCTGAAAGTACTGTTGGCTGGTTTAGTACGAAAGAAAAATACTATTCATTAACTGATAAGCCATGACTTATAAACCAAATACGACCGAGCGAACGGGCTAGAAGTGTTCAGACGAAATCATCCTCTAATCAAGCGAAAAAGCAGCAGCGGAGACCTCTATAAATGCTTGTTCTAAATGCTTGGCACAGTCTGCTCTGCTGCTGCTCCTTCTGAAGATGGCCCAGGCTAACGTTGAGTTCGCCCCCGTAACATGGCCTTCCAAACCTCCGATGACCAGCAAGTACCAACACGTAATTAGGGTCTCAGTCTGTACAGAAATCAAAGACACAATTATAGGATGTTTGGTCTGAGGAACGAGTTAGTTATCATCTTCTCACTCTTTATATTGTTTGGTTTGTAGAATAAAATAGGTTGATCCATTATCTCCTCATTCATCACTAGCAAATAATTAATACTTTCTTCGTTCCAAATTATAATTATAATTTGAAATGGAAGAAGTAGTTTGGTACTAGTACGAGAAATAAAATCATTTTACCAAGTTTAAAGAATGGACTCATGATGCACATCATCATCTAAAATGGTTGATTTCTCAAAATAAACACCCAGTTAATTCTGTAACTGTTTTAGGATAAGAGCACACATGTCGGAAAGGTCTGTTTTGGGCTACTAGAATCTAGAGAACTTGGCTGCTTCTATACATATGTGACAAAGTGCTGGAATGATCCTTGCACATCTTGCAGCAAGAAATGCTTGGGAATCAATCTTTTGTGGTGCTAGAAAATAGAAAGTTTTGAGGTGTAGGTAGGGCAATCATATGACCAACTGGACATTGCAAGAAGGAAGTACACAATTGAAGCTTTTAAGATGTACACATCATAGCCAAGTTCCAACTCTTACCTTCACTTTCAGTCGTCCTTATGTTCGGCTGGTATTAAAGCTGATTGATAAGCCGATTGAAGCTGATTTGTTGTGAGAAAAAAATGTTGTTGGTTCTAGTTGATAAGCCGGCTGATAAGTTCAAGCTAATTTGTTGCGAGAAAAAAATAATGTAGATTCAGCAAGATCCACCGAGTGCTGCTACCGGGTCCCAGTGACCAATGTGTTCGAGTAGAGTTTGGATACTCATCAACATTGGAAGAGCTGCATCAGCAATGTCGTTGAAAATTTTTCAGCAGAACTCTCCCCTAGTGCTCCTGTATAAAAAGGACGAATTTCATCTCGTAACACTGCAAACTCCTGTAGAAAGAGTTGTATGTCTATCAACATAAAGTGATAAAAAGGTTTCACGACGTTCATAGGCCTGGTTCCTAAAAATTTTCACCCCAAACTATCACATCGAATTTTACGACATATGTATGAAGTATTAAATATAGACAAAAAAAACTAATTGCATAATTTGGTTAGAAATCACGAGATGAATGTTTTAAGACTAATTAGTCCATGATTAGCCATAAGTACTACAGTAACTAACATGCGTTAATGATGGATTAATTAGGCTTAATAAATTCGTCTCGTAGTTTCCAGACGAGCTATGTAATTAGTTTTTTTTATTAATATCCGAAAATCCCTTCCGACTCTTCGAAACGTCCAATATGAGATCTAAAAATTTTTATTTCGCGAACTAAACATAACCATAGTTTTTTATGTTTTTCCTACTGTATAGCATTGATTGAATGACGAAAGCTGTGCCTGGCCACGTCAACACAAAATTTGACATTCCTGGACTGAGCACTAATTTCACCTGATCACTATAGAGGAATCAGTGTCCTTCATAATAGTTATTATCTTCGCAGAAGCGGCATATAATTTTGTCATTACTAAAGTGAACAGCATCATAGGCTGAGTCGTCTCATCACCAGATTTAATTTAATAATAAAACCTGCAGTAAGATTCTAAGGAATTTGGTAGTACTTGGCCCTTGTTCAGTTGTCATCCTAAAATTTTACATCTTATCACATCGAATGTTTGACACATACATGAAATATTAAATATAGACTAAAAAATAATTAATTATATAGTTTACGATTAATTTGTGAGACGAATCTTTTAAGCCTAATTAGTCCATAATTTGACAATAAAGTCCTACAGTATCCCCATGTGCTAATGACGGATTAATTATGTTTAATAAATTCGTCTCACGAATTACTAACAGATTCTATAATTTATTTTTTTATTAATATTCGAACAACTCATATGACACCCTCGTATAATATTCGAGGGGACATCCAAATCTTTACACGCTGTGTCTAAAATGGCCTCGGTATTACACGCTGTGTCTAAAATGGCCTCGGTATTACACGCTGTGTCTAAAATGGCCTCGGTACTACTACAATATTTAAAAAAGAAACTGTTTCAGATAAGATAATGACAGGACATGGATTGTACTCATCAGAATTTGTACTTTTGTCGGATGTGCTCACTAGTTTAATAGTATGAAATGCATCGGCATGGTCTTGTCAAGAATAAAGGAATCAGATTTGTGCGTAACATGGTTAGACAATGTCCTGAAAGTAAAACCAGTACACTGCTAGTTGTTCATTAGCTTGAGATTTCAGAAGTAAATACAAGGGGCAGCTTATTTTGGCGTCTATACTGACCATGACCCAATATATACAAGACATGGAGCCAAAAAAAAAAAAACTACCTATGCTGACGAAAGTAGTCCCGAAGTAAAAGAGTTCAAAGAAGCAAGCACCCACCACTCGTACAAAAAGAGTTGATCTAATAGTAAATCAAAAAATTTGTCATTTGCAACTCAAAGAAAAAAAGGATCTTGCCATTTGCAACTCAAAAGGAAAGGTCAGAAAGGCAAGTGAAAAAAAAGGAGGAAAGCCCCCCTGGACCAGTGGGTAGGCACCACCAGAAAGGATATACTGTGGAAAAGGGCGCTCTTTTTACCAGTTACCACGACCAGTCACCAGCAGTTCAGCACTGTGGTAAGAACACAAGGGGCCAAGAGAGGCTGTGCCAGGCAGCGCAACATGCCCGAATACACAGCAGCCAAAGGCACTGTCAGCTTGCACACGCAGTGAAAGGATCACCCACTAAGCACAAGTGGAGATCAGCCCACAATGCACAAAAGTTTGCGAGCATGCCACCACTCAGGCATGCATTCACCGATCACCAGGGGTGTCTTTCGATGAGGACAAGGATGAATGAAATATGGTCGGCCATGGATTTGTGGATATAGAGCGGGTGAACTAATTTTCTATTTGATTAGATAGATATCTGTTGATAGGATGAGTTATTTTTTTTTTTGTTAGATGGATGAGGATAGAGAAGGCAGCTGCAGTCACCACCTATCCAAATGGTTGAGGTTACCCCTTAAACGTGCACAACAGCTTCAACATATATACGTGGTTACTGAATTGTTTATGTAAAAAAAGAAAATAATTTCCAAAAGAAAACAAAAAAGAGAAAAAGAAAAACAGACGCACCCCACAAATCTCACGCACGCCACAGGAACCAACACACACACGCACACAACACACACACGGAGACCCGAGGCACGGACAGCCTTATCCTCTCCCTCGCGCCTCCTCCGGAAGCTCCAGTGCAGGACCTGGCTCCTTCCATGGCAGCCTCCGTCTTCCACTTCGCAGATACAGCCCCTGCTTCTCTCTCTCTCTCTCTCCGACGCAGCTCCTGCTCGCGCCCCTCACCTACGTGCTCTGCCGCGCGGGCACCAGCGGGGAAGAGATGACCGGCAGCAGCAGGGCAAGGCGAGCGGCGCCGCCGTGGCTTGAAACGAGGAGTAGGGAGAGATTGGAGCCATCATGAAGAAGAGCGGTGACGACCGGGAGGTTAGGACATTCTCCGTGCGCGCTCCCACCTCTCTACCCGCGCGCCCGTGACCAGCCGTGGACGAGCTTATCCGCCAGATTTTTAAGAGCCAGCTGTATCCAGCATCTCGAGGGAATATTCCCTAAAGTGGATATCTATGGCCATCGTATCCATCCATCCAAACAACACTCATCCAGGTGCCATCCATGGATATTTGTGGAACCAAACACAACCCAGATGGAGGACTCCAAGCAAACGAGAGAATGCAGGAGCAATTGAGCATAACAAATGCAAAGCATGGCCAGCAATAATGACACAAGCAGCAGCATCCTGAGGCCTGAGAGAGAAGATGCCACTGCCAATCATTGAAGGGCACAGCACAAGGCCCCAAAGTTCAACCATGGCAGCCAGCTTTGCAGATACCAAGAGCAGGATCATACACAAAAATTACATCAACTTCGGGTGCAACATCACAGAGGACAAGTTATTAATAACTATGATAAAACATCATTATCTAGCTCTACTCCATTAATTCAGCAACTGGTAACAGGGTGATAGGTTCCTTACAGAATGAGCTGTTAAGGGTTACATTGGAGTTGAGGGATCAGATCAGATCAGGGTGTTGTAACTCAGCATCAGTTCTGTACTGTAACACACGACAATTAAGGCTACAGGCTAACACTAAGTTTTTACAACAGAAACAAAGCTAACACAACGGTATGCGCCTCTGCCACGACACTGCGGTGGTGGAGGGAGCGGAGGTGAGTTCCATGCTGCTGCTCTCTTGTCCTCCGAATCAATCAGTCTAGCTTCACCCATTCGAACCTGCCTGGGAGAGGGCAGTCATTTACAGGATCAAAGTTGTACCTGAAGATTAAGCCATACATCATACATGTTTGTGGTTAGTGCAAGGCATCATCAAGAAAAGCAGAATGCATCATCAGAATAATTTCTAATGAATCAAGAATCGACAAAACAGATTATGCAACTTGTTAACTGAATACATAAGAGGCCCGTACTTGTCAATGAAAGCCTGTTGTTGGCGTCGCTGTTCAGCAGCGAAGTACTCATTCATCTCCCTTGAACTTGGGACGGCCTGCACCGGAGGAGCTTTCACCCTGCGGTGGGAAGAGTGACTAGATCTTGTTGTGGATCCGGGAGTCCTGGGAGTGCCAATCATCTCAGAGTTAATCAAGCTGCAGGGCGTCATCTCCCTGGTATTCCTGCAAGCAACAAGGTTAGTATACATACATGAAAAATCTGGAGCCAATTCCATACAAAGCGAGGTCAATTCTCTAATTCCAATGTTACCGGACAAATTCTAAACAAGCAAGCAAAAAAAATGTCTAAAACCATAATACAAAACCATTAGTAAGTATGCACATCATCATCATTTGTGGTCCTGCAAATCTACCATTCCTCTCGATTTCTAGCTCAGGTACCATAAAAAGGCTAGCCGACAACCAAGCATCCTGCCAGAGGAAACAACAAAATGGTTAGGACTAGAGAGCCCCAACTCGCAGCCCCATGTGTAGGTAAGGCTCACTCTCGCCCGAGATGACACCGAAGGCAGGCGAACCCCAGCACCGAAACTGCATGAGGTAGGCCGAGCACCAAACAGTGGCCCAGGCGCCCAGCAACATGCACCTGGATATGCTTGGAGGTGGCCACTGATGCAGCATGATTTACACAAACACACGCACTGTTCAGATCATAGTAGTGCACACCTCCACCCTCCAATTACTGTTTCGGCTGCCATACATGGAGGGCCCAAAGGGATTAGAGGTTCAGCTTCACTACTATTCCGTACTATGGTCCCTCCTTTAGGCGGTGTAAGACTGTCTCCAAAGACGAGACCAAACCAAAAATAGGTAGCAATACACTTAAAATCAGCCTCCAACATAGGGAAACCTGTTTTATGTTGTCTGATACACACAGCCTAAATATAGGCATCATCTCTCCTGAAAATACATTTACCAACATAATTCTTTTTTGGGTTTTATTGTGAGAGAAGATGTCATATAAGTATTCAATCTTTTACCTAGCGCTATCGCGAACAAGTTTTGTATTTTGGGCGGTGGTGTCGGAGATAGTCTAACCATCAGACCATGGCTAGAGCTGTAAACGGCACGAGTTGGCCAATAGATACGCTCTGGGATAGTACTAGCATGCAACCCCCACACCGAGACACCTCAAGTGCCCCGAGATGGTGAAACCAAGAACGACAAAAGAAAAGGCACAGCATAAGCTGCTTCCGTTCATCTCTCTCATGCGAGCAAGTGCGCCCACAATGGGGGTGGTACTTGGCTGCTCATAGTGCAATGCATGTAGCCAGCGTTCAGTCTACAAAATATTGATGGGGCTAATCGTAGCAGGGCTAAACATGGATTCTGACCTGTTTAGGCAGGGAAGAGGACCACTTGTGCAAGATAATAGTAGGGCCAAAAACATTTGCAAACAAGCTCGTGATACTGTCAAACATTTATATCAAGAGCTGAGCAAAGCTATGACGTAGTTTCCTTATCTCGAAACGTTCTTCCATCCCCTAGCTCCAGCAAGGATAAATAAATAAAAACTCTAGTACTAGAAGGGGAGGAGTCCCACCCCCTTTCACCTCAAACATTTAATGGCGGTGCCAATTTGGGGCCATGGCCCAGGAAGAGACCTTGCAAGGAACATGCCATTTCCTCGCCTTCCAGAACTCAGAGAGGTGACAGGCCAGTGGTGAGAGAGACCCAGCCAGACTCAACAACCACGACCTCAAATACCATCACTGTGTTCGGCTGTGCCTTGCACAGTAAGTTTCGGATGGTTTTGGTCGATTGAATAGTATTCACCGAGGGAGAATAAGCTAAAGCCACGACCTGACCAGCCGAACGCGCTGCATATTCTTAACACGGTCTCCAATAGGTGAACAACCAAACTCAAAATTACAGAAGATCCAAAATTAACCTCCAGAGTAACAATACAGAGATTTATTTTGGGTTGTTCGAGAGGTATAACCCAAATTATAAGTATGCTCTCTTAAAAAACCCATTTATAAAAAAGATTTTCTTTTAGGTCCTATAGTTCAAGAGGATATTGAACGGGTGCTGAACCCTTCGACTCTGGCGCTAACCAAACTTTAAATGTGTCTTGTATTTTGAGTGTCGTCGAGATAGTCTAACACCTAAAATAGCGCTTTTTCGGGGGGCGGAACAGAGAAATTTCTTGCGAAAAGTGTCGAGGGTTTTGATTGGTAAAAGATTTGAGGGGTCCCCGACTACTCGTCTCCCCCAAGGGGAAGGGGAAAGAACAAGGGGAAAGGAGGCCACTTTTCCCTTCCACTATGGAAAAGGAGGACGCCATGGCTGGCCACTGCAAGAAACACCACTAAGCTAGTGGATTAATTCAGCTCTGGTACAAGATTGAGCACAACTAACTCGGTGCTTCAGAGATTCAAATCAAGCGCGAGGAACGAAAAAAATTTGGGCCTTTTATGGAGTGAAATTGGACGGCGGCAAGCGATTAATGCAGGAATTTGGGGATAACTTTTGTTTTCAGAAGACAACGCAAGAGACACCGCCGAAAATTTAAGCGGAAGGAGAGCACAGCAAGAATATAGGGGTTCCTAGAGCAGCAAAAATTCGCAAGAAAGCATATGAGCTTTACAGGCGTGTCGGGGAAATTTGCATGACTCCCAATTTGAAGCCGAACGCACCGCGCGAAAAAGGGAAAAACATCGAAAACATTCAAATAGAAACGCATAGCGCTAAACTTTTAACTTTCTGACACACAAAAAAAAAATATTGGCAGCAATCCGCTAATCCCCCCAAAACCCGAGCAAGCAACCCAAGAACGCGGCAGAAAATTGGGAAAAAACTCACCTCTCCATGGCCTCCAACTCGAGCATGTTCTCCCCGTACGACGCCTCCACCTCCTCCTTAGCAGCGGCGGCCGCGGCCGCCGTCTTCCTCCTCATGGGCGCCGCCGGCGGCGGCAGTTTCTCGAGCCTCCGGCTCCTTAGCTCCAGGTACTCGCCGCCGGCTCCCTCCTCCCCCTGCGCCTGCTGCTTCTGCAGGCGCTGCAGCGCGAGGGCGCGCGCGCGGGTGCGGACTCCGAGCGGAGCGGAGGACACATCCATGATGGCTACCTCGCCGGAAACCTTGACCTTGCGCATGTACTTGCCCATGGCCCGGCGGGGCTGGGTAAGATAGGGTTTCAAGGAGGCCCACCCTCGCCGGGTGCACCAAGCGATTCTGTGCGGCGGGGCGGCAGAGGCCAGGGGAGGCGGGGATTAGATGGTAGGCGGGGCGGGAGCGGTGTACACAGGAGGAAGCCCGGGAATAACGAGGAGGAGAGGAGAGGGAGGGGTGGGTGTGGCTATCAGGAGGGAGGCTTAGACTGTCTCCAACGATGAGAGTGTAAACATGAGACTTATTCTAAATTTGAGTCATATAAAGAAAAAAAATCACAGACCTAAATTCCTCGTTCTTCAACAACGAACCCAAAACAAGACTCGCAGTTTTCCTCCGTCCGTCCGGTGCCGCTTGCTCCTCCGTATTCGTCTTCTCCGCGGCCAGCCACCGAGCTGTGAGCTCCGGCGCGAGATCCGGCGAGGCGCTGAGGAAAGGCCGACACAGGGAGTGGACGGAGGCAAGAAACACCGTGGGCTTAAGCAGAAGAGGAGGGAAGAGGGAGCAGAGAAGGTACAACGGCGCGCAGACCTTGCAGAAGCGATTAGCGGCAGCAAGACCGATGGTTTGTGGCGACGCCGCAGAAGTCCGCCATTAGCTTGGCCGGCCGAATTAACGGCGACGGCGAGGCACGCATGTAAAGCGGCAAAGACGGGAGAGACGCAGAGAGAGAGCGAGCGGGAGACGAAGAAGAAAGCGAAGCAAGCGCGAGAGGACAAGGGGCGGAGAGCGGACGGACCGCGGGAGGCGCCTCCGCCGCCGCGTCGGGACGGAGCGAGCGACGAAGAGGATGGGGAATGGTGCATTCTTTTTTCTTTTCTTTGTTTGGCCGACGGACGACGGATGAGATTTGCGTCGTCTCTCTGTCGAGACATTTATTTGCGTTTCGGATCAGCTTCGACGCAAAATGCGTCGTCAGTTTAGGTCATCCGTTGGAACGTATTTTCGGTACCAAAAACAATGTGAACTACCTATTATGTGTTTGGGTTGCGTCGTTGGAGATAGTCTTAGGTAAGAGATGACATATTTTTCTTTTAGGCCCTCTTCGTAATATGTATTTGGTATTTGAATTTTTTTCTATTTATTTTATGTGTTTTTTTTTCTGGAAATAAACTGATTTGTACAAAATTTAGCTACGATTCCTACAAAACCCCTGCATTTTTAGGAGCCTTTATTTTGATTCTGGGTGAGAAGTTAGGGCTTTGTATTTTTCAGTGATCTATTTTTTGAGGCATTTTGAATAATGTATTCAATTTTTATGTTGTAGATTATACATAAAATGAGATTATATTTAAACATCATTTTAATATATTCTTGTATAAGACGAGGACTATGAAAGAGTATGTGTTTTACTGTGGCAAGTTATAAGAACGTACTAAACTGCAAACCATGCTGAATAATCAAAATAAATTAGTGCTATATGATGACCACATCGAGGATAAGCCGCTACATTATTTACGCCATTCATTGGAGACTAAATCTATTCGTATGTAAATCAACTAAAAGATGCCATGATATTTTGATATATGCATTCCATGTTTAGGGTAAACAGCTATATAAGTTGATAAGGACGACAAAAATAGAGGGTGCACATTTTTGTATACCTTTGGCGCTAAACAGGCAACTTTTGCTCTTTAGGATAAGATTTACCTATTTGCAATCTTCTCCTTCAAGGAAGTGATGATAAATACAAGGAGATTATTTTTTTATTAGTTTTGATATTTTTTATCATGTGAATATACTTTTTATTGTGATTGTATATATTATTAGGACCATTTTGTAAAGCTAGAAATGAAATCCTTGTCCACTTCTCGATCTTAGAATGCGACATGTTCATTTATTTCTGTAATATCCTTTCAATGGATGTGGCGATTTTGATATTTATTTATATATCTCTTTTACCAAAAGGGGGTAATTGAGATATGGTGAAATAGTACACAATCAGATCCTCTTGACTTTTGGTACTCATGGTGAATAGGAAAAATAGAAATATATTTAAATCGATGGGATTATTGCAAAGGATTCTTTATATTCGAATTCATTGCTCAGGATGAGGATTGCATATATTTTATATTCTTCACCAAGGTAAGCAAAGGAAAGATGACAAGATTGTTTTTATTGTTTTAAAAAACATGGGGATGTGATTACATTTTTACCATGATTTTGTGTTTGTATAGGACCACTTAGTAAAAATGTCCCAATGAAATATATGTGCATTGTTTTGGACTTCTAACGTGCTAAGTTCATTTGCCTTTAAAATATCCTTGCCACAATCAAGAAAAAATCAGTCTTTATATTGACAATTGTTTTCATATGGTGGTGCGCAACTTAGATATTGTGATAGAGCATGCACAATTTTTATATGTTTATGAAACATGTGATTTTTTCTCTTCTATGTCAACGATTTATATATTTATTACAATCTTCTCCTTTGGGGAGGAACATGAGATACAAGAGGGCTGCTTTTCTATTGGTTTTCAATTTTTGTGACCATGAATATGATTTTTATTGTGATTATGTATAAGTTGAGGACCATTTTGAAAATTTGGCAATGAATGTGTCTATTTTGGACCATTTAGTAAAAGAATTGATCTTTATATGGACAACTCTTATTACATGGAGTGTAGAGCTGAGACACGGTGAAAGTGGGTGCCTAATTTTTGAAACAATTATTATGAAACATGCTACTTTTGCTCCTCCAAGCTAATGGTTTACACATTACAATTTTCTCCCTTGGGGAGAGATTGTAGATACAAAGGGATTATTATTTTGATTTTTTTTTACCATGTGAACCTATAATTTCTTTTAATATTATGTTTGTTCATGACCATTTTGTAACACTAGAAATGTAATTCATATCCACTACTCCCTCTGTCCCGTAATATAGTGCATTCTAGAAATTCTAAGACAAATTAAGAGAGAACGTAAAAGACGCATGTACCCTCATTTTATTTCCTAATCAAACGCTATCATCAATGTGATTAATGATAATTGGTTGATAAATGGAAAGTATTTAATGTAAAATTAGTTTTTGTCCTCTAGAATGCATTGCATTTGAGAATAAATTTTGAATTCTAGAACGCACTGTATTACAGGACGGAGGGAGTACTTGGACTTAGAATACATCATTTTCACTTCCACAATATCCTTTTGATAGTTGAGGCGATTTTGATATCTATTTGGATAGTGTTTTGCTAAATGAGGAACACATAATTGATATATGGTAATATGGGCACCATTAGATCCTTTGTAGTTTGATACTCACCAAGAACTGGAGAATTAATTAAAATATAGTTAAATCTATCAGAGTTATTACAATGGATTCTTTGTTTTTTAATTCATTACACCGGATGAGGAAATCATATATTTTATATTCTTCAACAAGGTAAGGGTATGAGACATGATAATATTGGTTTGTTATTTATTTTAAAAGAATATGAGGATGTGATTATATTTTTTATCATGATTGTGTGCTTGTATAGTATCATTTAGTAAAGGTGTCACGATGAACTATATGTGCATTGTTTTGGACTTCTGACGTGCCAAGTTCATTTGCTTTTAAAATATCCTTGCCACAATCAAGGTAAATTCGATCTCTATATGGTCAATTTTTGTCATATGGGGTGCAAAATTTAGATATTGTGAAATAGGATGTGCATGTATTATGAAACATGCAACTATTGTTGTTCTATGCCAATGATTATATATTTACACTCTTCCCCTTCAGGAGGGACATGAGACATAGGAGACATAGAAGGATTGTTTTCTATTGATATCATTTTTTTTGAGGATGTGAATAATTTTTTATTATGATTAGGTATATGCTTATGATCATTTGGAAAATTTGGCTATGAATGCATTTGTTTAGGACCATTTAGTAAAAAAATCACAATGGTATATATGTGAACTATTTGGACTTGTAGTGGGTTGTGTTCATTATTTACTTTTAGAATAACTTTGCCATAGTTCCAAAAAAATTATCTTTATTATTACATGAGGGTTGGAAAATTGATATAGTGGATGAACCATTTTTTAAATAATTATTAGGAAACATGCTACTTTTGCTCCTCTAGGACAATGCTTTACATATTTACAACCTTGTCCTCTAGGAGTGACAATACATACAAAGGGATTAGATTATTGTTTTTGACTTTTTGATCAAGTGAATTATTTTTTATGGCAATCTATGTATGTTTAGGACCATTTTGTAAAACTATAAATGAAACCCATGTTCACTACTTGGACATAGAATTCCATATACTCATTTACTTCTACAATATTCTTTTGATAGTTGCTACGATTTTGATATCTATTTGCTCGGGTAATGTTTGCGGGGGCACACAATTGAGATATATGGTGGAATGTGGTGCACCTTTGGATCCTCCAAATTTTGGTATTCGTTGTGAGTTTTAAAATGAATATATATTTAAATCTATGGGAATTTTGGCAAATGATTCCTTGTAATTGGGATCTTTGCTCTAGACGAGGATTGCGTATATTTTATATTCTTCTCCACCAAGGTAATGGGAGGAGAGATGGCAAGATTGACTTTTTATTTATTTTAAAACATTGAGGATGTGATTTATATTTTTTACCATGATTAGGTAAGAGGTGATGGATTTTTCTTTTAGGCCCCCTGTGTAATATGTATTTGGTATTTGGATTTTTTCTATTTATTTTATGTGTTTTTTGCCTGAAAATAAACTGATTTCTACAACTTTTCGCTATGATATATTTCTACAAAATTCCTGCCTTTTAGAAGCCTTTATTTTGATTTTAGAGGGAAAAGTTAGAGCTTTGTGTTTTTAAGTGGTCTATTTTTTAGGCATTTTGAATAATGTATTTTATTTTAATTTTGTAGATTATACATAAATTAGCGCTATATGATGACCACAACGAGGATAAGCCATTACATTATTTGCGCCATTCATTTGGAGACTAAATTTATTCGTGTGTAAATCAACTAAAAGATGCTATGATATTTTGATATATGCAT